CACCTCTGTGTTTATGATTGCGAGTTGTTATCTTGCTACACAATGAATTTGAGGCCATTATATATGCCACGCGTAAATACATAAGTCTAATTATGCAAAGTGCCTCAGGTTTTTCACAGTACTAAACAATTCAAAGTCAACATTTAAGCCAATTAATTTTTATATGCCTTATTAGACTATATTTAAGATGTTTTTGGTTAGTTAGTGGTGTATGTATCTGATGTCAGTTTTTCAAGTTGCGTAAGACCCTGCATGTCACAGGGTTTTCCTTTCTTTTTTGTTTATTTGTGTGTTTGTTTTTTTAATTAAGTAGACTTGTCTATGTTACATTAGCTTCAATATTCAGGCATTTTAATCAAAATAACAAAATAGTGTATTTACCAAGTAGTTTGCAGATACAGATATACTATATTCCTGGAGTTTAATTCAACTTTCAGTTTTGAACCCCTACTGTGTTAGCTGCCTTTTAACCGTAGTCATTTAAAGAGATTAAAATCTGGGCGCTGGGCTTATGCTTTCACACAGCATTCAGCATGAATCAGTGTGCCTCAGGGACACGGGATTGGCTCATCAAACGATAAATCTTTGCAAACTGACATGCCAATGAAGCCTGTTCTTGCCTGATATACATTTATTTCTCTCTCTTACTTTAAAAAGATATCTTGATCTCCGTGAGACTACCTGTATGAAGATAAAACAAAAACTAATTCACCCATGAGTAATAAATTATGAGCCACATACGTATTGAGAGAATTCTTACATAGCCTACACTGGAACTTCAGTTCATGTCAGAACAGGTTTCAGCTTTCATTTCAGCCAATCCAGCGGCTCTATCTTTCTGGAGAAAGATTATTAATATTCTGTTATTGTTCAGAAGCTGAAATAAAAACGCTCTATTACACTATATTTCTCCTTTTTCTTACGGTAAGAGACACTGTTAGATAAGGAGCAAGGCATCCTAAATGTTTATTTCATGTATCAGTACAGTGGTGCATTTTTTACCTGAGCATGGTGGAGTTGCAGCAGGCTACTGCCCCCAGGCTTGTGAACCAAACCCCACCCAATCTTCCATACTGGACTGAACCTGAAGCTTTTCTCTGTGGAGGTTGCACGTTCCCCATGTGCCTGTTTACTGACACGCTCAAAGGGCATACACATATGGGTAACTGGTGACTCCGAACTGGCCTTAGGCTTTAAAGTGGGGTGTTTGAACTGCATATAATAAAGTGCTTTATGAATGTCTCTGTGAATGGTGAGCGGTTAGTATGGGCTCTACATAAATACCCTTCAAATTCTATTTACCGTGTCATAGATTATACTTTAAGTACTGTGGTATTCTAGTAGTTTCATTTATTATGCCAATTTGGTCAGTCATACAGATTCAGTTCGTCTTCACATTGTTTATTTTGAGCAGACTACTGAATACTAAATTAAAAGAGACTTGGTCTACTATTTCTTTTAACTCTACTCAGACTTGCATGAATATTATTAATGCCAGCAGAGACAGAGTATTGATTAGCACAGTCCAGAAACAGAATAACAGTCCACCCGATACTGTCCAAACCAACAAGCCTTTATTTCTTTTTTGCTTTATTTAATTTTTACGCCGCTCTTTTGTGCAGCTCAAACACAAAAGTATAGCATTTTAATTAGTGAGCTTTAAAGGTGCTATTTGCTGTCTTTGGTTAGAACGAGCCAGCTCGGTGTTTCTCCATATATCCTGCTCATGCCTGTAGTTAGTGCTGAAACACCAGAATGACATCAATCTGCTTATCCAACCCTCAAAAAATAAATAAAAAAATAAGCCTAATTTCCATTCGCAAACTATTCCCTCACTAACATGTTTCTGCTAGAGTGTAAATAAAATCAGAACTCCCAGAACTTTAAACATTGAAACTCCACAATTTCCATGTTTGTGTTTATATTAACCTTGTATTTCATATTTCAGTCTCTGCAACAAAAAGGGGAGTTAAAGAGTATAAAATGAAAAAGTTTTGCTGTGTTTGCTGAGACTGAACAGGGCTAACTTTTACCTCAGCTGTCTAAATGTTCTTCTTTTGACTTCCTTGCTTAGGTGCAATGCAGCATTCCAGACAAGTCGAAACATGACGGTGTGTGCGCTCTGTCTCAAAGAATCAGTTAAACTGGGTGGATGCAAGGAAATGGGTCACACACATCTAACTCTGTAACTTAAGATTGTAAAAATGTTTTAATAAAGATTGTGTTAAACTCGGGTCACCTCCTGTCAGCTATTCTGAGGTAAGGTATAATTCAGCGATTCGAACCCAGATGAACCCCAGATGAACACTGCACTGAATTAAAGCTACTTCCTAGATGGCTTTTTTTGTTGTTGTTTTTTAAACCATCACCCCTGCATTTTTAAAAAAATACCAAATGAATTTACATAAAAGTACAGTTTTCTGTGGCATTCTCCATCAGTAGCTTCACTCAGATTCTCTAAACAAGACAGCTGAAAAAATGTCCTTTTGAAGGAAAGGCAAAGACAACATCAGCAAGCTTGAAAAGAGCTTATTACGTCTGTCATTTCTTCAAAATTTAGTTTTTTTAAGCAGAACTTTTTAAGAATTATTTTATTACTGATACTTTTTCATTAGAATAATAAACCCCAGTTGCTATATTCGGAGAAAGATTTTCATGGGATTAGCAACTAAGATGTATTTTAATCCACAAAATAACGTTTAAGGTTACAGGATTTAATAAAGAGGTTGGCAGGTTGATGGTGCTCTCAAATGAACTTCATTTATGATCATCATTATCAAACTATTGATATTAGGAGGTTGTTATACATTTGTGCTTTTTGCCACTTTTTGCACATAGTGGTTTCTATGATTAACATTTGGATGTTTGTGTAATTCATAAACGTTTCTGTGGGGGAGGGGACAGTTCTGGTTTAACATTTAGTTCCCGGGTAAAAGAAAAGGGAAAAAAAAGAAGAAGCTGTTTTTGGGGTGTGGAATTGCTTCAAGGCAGAAAAGGGGGAGGTTTAACCCTCTTGCTGCTTTTCCATTGGTGGACACAGGGACAAATATGCCTGTACCTGGTGCAGGTAAACAGACTGAAATCAGGCACAGCAGAAGAGGATCACCTGGCGTGACTTAATGCAACACTTCGGTTTCATTTAAATCCACCACCCCGGAAAACTTGACAGCTTTTTCGTTTGTGGCTTTGCACAGGTTTGTGTCGTATACCTTGCCTAACTACACACAAGGAAAGAGAAGGGTTAGCATTCGTAGATTTTTTTTAAATTCTTTTTTTGGGGGGATAAATATCAATTAGTTGTGCCTTGTTGTGTTTTCTAGGTGGCAAGTGCATTGCCTTGTCATACAGGTGAAATGAGACTTCAGACTGAAAAGTGTGCATAGACGGGCACTTACAGGGTTTTTTTGTAAAGTGAATACTTAAGTGTTAGGAGTAAATGCTTGAACTAAAGGCTGTGAGATGCTGTAATAGATGGTTATAATTGTGTGGGTTTGGACTGTACATGTTAATCAGCACCCTGCATTCATCAAGCTGAAAAGACTGCAAAAGGATGGAAAACATCGAAAACAGGTCCTTACTTGTGCAGGGAGAGGCCTCGCCCTGCACGCCCTTCACACAACCTGTGCAGAAGGAAACTTGAGCATACACTCCAATGGAACCTGTCTTTCATGTATTTGTTCTCTTTAATTAATCAACCTCTTCTTCCCTGACAGAAACAGAAAGAGTGACATCACTGAAATCGGTGTCAACGTTCCCAGTGATTCAACCCCTGAAGGGAGGCTTCAGCGTGCTCACTTCACTTGTGAAACCATCCATGTATTCTATCCTTCATTCCACCGGAGTCTGTGTAAAGTGCTAATCAGATTTCAGTGGTTTGAAGAGTAAGACACATGGAATTTTTCATCCTCAGAGAAGCTTAAGTCATATAATCACATTATCGAGGATTTTAATGGTTGCAACTTTTACAATAAATTTTTAACAGGGCTTTGTTTTTTTGTTTTTTAGATAAAAGATATGGCCTTTAATGCCCTTTGAAGGTAATGTGATGGTGAAAGCAACAGTTCTGCACAAGCACTGAAAGAGGACTTGTCCTCCTCATTCATACCTGCAATGCGACAGTAGTTGAATACCGCTGCACTGATTGCACTTTAGAGTTATTGCAGGATCACAGAGTGCTGGCAGCCCCACTTTATGTCTTTTTGACTGTCACTCACAGAGGTTGCTGTGTCCTCACCCTGTCTCTCTCTCTCTCTCTCTTTACACTTACTTCTCCGAGACATAGCAATTACATAATGACTCCTAAACTCCCACTTTCACAGCAAGCTCATCTGAGCTTTTGCCAAGATGTATTTTTGTGTCCTTAAAGTCTTATAACTGTACCCAAGAAGCCTAGACATACAATATAACATGTGCACGGAACGGAGTAACTCATTGTTGATTAATGAACATCGCTTTTTTCCCTCCAAAGAATATAGTTTTTTCCATAAGGTTTTAAACAATTCTCTGTGGGACAATTAGCCGGGCTCATTAGCACAGGACACTTCCCAGATTACATTCAAAGCCTTAATTATAGCTAAATAGGCAGCTACATTGAGCCCATGTCAACCAACTATAATTCTTCCTCCCAATTAATATAGAGGGAATATAAACTAACAAAAGAACATAGTGCCAGATCAGCAGAGATCTGTACAGACTTGTACTCAGTAACAGGGTTGTTCTGATTGATAGTGACATAATAAATAAGGAACTATTAGGTATTTGAATTAAAACACATCTCTTTAACAAAGAAAAAGGCATCATGTTGTGAATTAATAACTACCAAAGCGATTACACGGGAAAAAAGACACTGCAATTCCCAAATTTTAAGCAAAATTGGGAAATTGTGGAAAATAGTGTACTCAGTATATTTCAAAGACAGAATAACCGATGCATGACCCAGAGTTTCAAAAATTCTGTCTGAGGTTAATCTCAGCCCAGTGATCAACTGATCCCAGCAGGCCTCACATGCTAGAAAGATTTTTGATTTTCTCCACAGCAGACGTCTCATGTGCTACACACCCCAGCCTGCTGTTCACCTTCCTGTTTGATGCAATTATAACCACAGGGCTTAGTGCTGCATATAGCGAGCCAAAGAATAAACGCAGGTCAGAGATCAGTGAGGAACTCATGGTTTTCTTCACAGTGAGGGTGTACACCCAAAGCCCATTATCTGCCCCATAGAAGACAACATACAAGGTCACAAGTGCCACCACAGCTTTGGCAGCTCGTTGTTCAGCTCCACCATTTCCAGCACCACTACTGCGGAGTCCCTTCACCTGCTGGCTGTGCTTGTAAAGGAATACCAGGATAATCAGACTTGCGAGTGTCATGAGGGCCATGGGCACAACATCCCTGCCAACCTGGATTGCCCCGTTGGCATCTCTGGACAGCTTTGAAGGAAAGTTCAAATAGCAGAATTGTACATTAATGCCATTGTCTATCGGGCTAGTTTCATTCTTGGTACTGAAAGAAAACAGGATGGCTGCTGTCGTCATGCAGGCATTGAGAACCCAAAGGAAGAGGAACACAAAGGCCAAATAGTGACCTAACAAGGCACGAACAGAAGCCCAGCTTGATCCTGGAGGGGCAATGCTCAAGCACTGATAGGTACTCAGCAGGAAAGTGAGCCAGATTGAGAGGCCACGTGTTGCTCTATAGATAAAGATCACTGATTTACAGCCTGTGTCTCCAAAGATGTCGGCCAGACGGAAGGAGGCCAGGGTCTCCGTCAAACCACGTACAGCCACCACCAGCAGGTTGACACAGGCCAGGTGCAGGAGAATAGCATCAGCTGCTAAAAGTCGCTTCTCCTGGTACAGCAAGAGGAGGAATGCCACAATTACAGTGGCATTACCTGGAATTCCCACAACGGTGAGGGAGAGAAAGAGCATCCCACGGACAAACACTTCTGATGCCATTCCTACAGGAAGTTGAAAATCAATAAAATCACATTATCAATATGTTATTTGTCATGCACTTCTAAATGTCAAATGGTGCCTAGCATTTAAATGGTTTCAGGAAAAAATAGTTTCGAAGGTTAAACTCCTACCTGAGAACCGTCGAAGCTAAAGAGGTCTAAAGTGGACCTTGTGCCTGTCACGCTGTGATCCTTCTCTCCTGATGTAGTCAGGGTGTTTGTGTTCTTATACTGGCAGACAGGTAAGATCTGTTTTGCATGGTCCATTGACTTCTCTTCCCTCAGCCTCCAATTACTTGAGATCAATTCAGATGACTGCTTCTGTACCTGTATTGGGTTTCAGACAGGATAACACAGTGGAAGCTGTATGTGTCCTCGTACAAAGAGCTTACCAGTGGATGAGAGATATGACATTAATGAAAGCACAATATCTATCAGTCCCATGTTTATTGTCAAAAAAAGAGATTACAATCATTCCTCCATGTCACTGTTTCACTGAGTAGAGAGAATTAAATCAATTTTCTAATTACTGAACCTATATGCAGATCTCTGTGTAACACCCTCAACAATACTTTTGCATTTTTCATATCTTCAATCTTTTTTTAAAGCCACTGCAAATCAGAAACCCTCCCTGTGTTGGTTAGACGCATATCAACACCACAGTGTCCTCCAGTGGAGGAAGAGGAAACAAAGGAGAAATTCAAAGGACATTCGACTCACTCTTCACGGTAGATCACCTGCAATTTTCATTTGGAGCGTGATCCGATTTATGATTTATGATTGTGTAATTCATCCACAGCAATAAAAATTCTTAATAGAATTTAACCTAAACTGTGAGGATGCTGTAAGGACAATATGATTTAACATCGGGGAACTGCTAGAGAACATTAAGCTCAATTCCTGTAAGAACACACAAGACACGTCCTACTTTGAAAATTATAGAGTATTTGAAATAGTGTGGCCACATTCAGGAAACCCTGATTAAATATTTATTTATGAATATAATGTATGTGTTGGCACTAATGGTGGTTTGATACAGTTTCTCCTTTAAAATTCTTGTTCTGTTTTGTTAATTGAAATACTTTTTCTCTGTCATTGAAAACCAACTGGGTAAAACTGAACATGCAAATGCACAAAATATTTAGATTTGTTAATTACAGTTTAATTTTTTCATATTTCTTGTTTTCCAGGATTGTCATCTAGTCTAGTATGTTTCCCTCTATATTTATATGTTCACGTTTTTAACGAGTCTGGATATGTATCATTTAGTGCGGACGTTCTGTGCCTCTCTGTGTTAGTCCAGCTTTTATGAAAATAGGAATTAAATTAAAAGCCAGTCATGTTATGTTTCTGATTGAACATTACATGAAAATCAGCTATGTTTATGTATAGAAAAAAAATCAAATGTGAGCTCCCGAAGAATTTAGAGTGAATGAGTTTTAGATGATGAAGACAAATGAAATGTAAAATGCTGGGAGGTCAGCTGTCCCCATCTCCTTGTGAGGCTGTTAAGTCAAAATCTTCTGAAAGTGCATTTTTCTTTCTATTGGAAAGATTAAAAGGTGCAGTGAGAAATACAATGAATAACCCCTCTGCCAGTTCAGAGATTTTGCCCTCATCAGCACACACAAAGGAACAAAAGAGTGTAAAGTGATATTTCTCTTAACTAAACTGAGCTGAACATATAAGAATGGACCTGATTTTTTAAAAAATGCATTAACATAAACCGCAATGGGTTTTATCAGTTTCACATGACGATACGCAAGGCTCTGCAAGGGTCTGCTTGTGTCCTAGTAACGTAAATTTCATCATTACAGGGTGTGCATGATATTTGCATGCCGTCCAGATTGTTCCAATTGTGTGGGCTTTTCTAGAAGCCACTACACAACTGTGCACTTGAGCTGAAAGCATTTTTTACACATATAGAATATGTATGTACAGTATGGACAATAATAAATCTCTGCTGTCTGCAGCTTCAAGGGACTATGATATTATATAACAAGAATATTTTTTTGACACACACACTCATATTCACCTGTTGTTCTGACAAACAACACAATTATAATAGGAGAATAGGAGCAATGCTAAAAACAGATTACATCAGCGAGAACATATTTCCTGTCAAGAGAAAAAAAGAAATCTTTAACTCGCAATGAAGCATACTGTTGCAATCCCCTGAGAAGGACATGCTTGAACTTGCCATTTTAATTAGCTCTCAGAACATTTAAACATGTTACAAAAACACACAGGGAAGCAAATAACACATCTAGTGATTATCTATTCCAAGGCCCCCCCCCCCTCGATCCCACCTCCACCCCCAGGGAAAAGCAGGCTTCTCAAACAACACCGTTTTACAAAAATAAACTTGTGCAGCTGACCAGGTTAAAGTCCTTATAAAGACGCATTTGCCAGTTACAGGTTAGCTGGTTAGAAAACGGGAATACTTATAACAAACTTCCGTTGTCGGTGCTAAGTATTAAAACATAAATGAATAATGTCTAGTTGTCCCTGTGCCCCCAATTTGTGCAGACATGCATTGTTATATGGCTAATTGTTTTGCTTCTCTGTGTCTTTAACATGCTCCCAGGACATGATGGAGAAAAGGAGCGCACGCTAAAGCACCAGCTGTGCGTGTAAAGGCCTCTTGATGGCTCATTCAAAGCATCATCAGGCTGCTTTTGCGTAAACAGTAACCACTCACGGCTGTCTCAACATGGTCAATCAACCGTATTTTTTAAAACTCTGCAGGGAAATAGCTTTATGATATTTCAAAGTGCAGGAAAATAACACTTAAGAATTTACATAAGGAACTGATTTTCCCAGACTGCAACCAACAACTAAAATCTCTTGACCTTCTCTTGAATCTTTGAAAGAAAGCAAATTTCCACGTTCCAAAGTTGTGCCCGTTGAAATGACTCTTCGGCATTCGTAACATTATTTCAAAGTAACCTTATAATTTCCTAAGGGATTAATAAAGTATTCTAACTCTGATTAATATGATCGTAAGTTAAAACTCAGATTGAGCTAGAAAATAATCCTCATACAAAATTCTGCCATCACTACTATTATTATGTTTTTGGGCAGTATTTTTAAAAAGAATAGTTTTACACTGAGAACATGTTAATCATGGAACTGTTATAAGCCATGTAGTGGTCAATATAGCAAGCCAAAAAAGTGTATCGACATCCATGGGGACGCTGTCTCCTTTGTGGGTCTTGTCCTCTGAGACCATGAGTCATATTTAGTTTGTTGCACTAATATCTTGGCCAATCCTTAGGGGCATCTAGGATTATATATTGAACTTACAAAGGCTCTTCAACATTTAAAGCACTAAATACTTTACTTTTTCTCTGCAACTTCAGGTGAGCATCATTTTCACTACAGGTGACACAATTGGTGTTATCTGGTTTTATCAAAACTCGTGTAGCCATCTTGAAAGATTAAGGTTATGTGTATAGTATTTATAACAGTTTAGATTTTCTGCTTTGTTAATCACGACAGCTGCAGGTCTTGGTGGCATGGATCTGTGTGTGGCCATCAAAGGTGTCTCCTTCCTCTTGCAAACAGGTATGGGCATTTTAGGAAACACTGTGGTACTTTTGGCGTACACACAGATCGTTTGCACTGGACCGAAGCTCCTTCCTGTGGACATGATCCTGTGCCACCTGGCCTTTACCAACCTGTTGCTGCTGGTGACCCGCGGTGTCCCCCCGTCAATGACGGTGTTCGGGCTGAAGGCCCTATTGAATGATCCGGGCTGTAAGGTGGTGATCTCTGCTTACCGCATTTGCCGGGCTTTGTCAGTCTGCATGACCTGCATGCTAAGTGTGTTTCAGGCAGTGACCGTCACCCCTACTGGGCCTTACTTGTCCAGGCTGAAGCCTTCACTTCCATCCCTGGTTATTCCCACCTTTGCAGGGCTGTGGCTCTTCAATATGGCCATATGCATATCAACTCCATTATTCACCATGGCTCCACGAAATGGCACTGTCTCTGCCTTTACCATAGACCTGGACTTCTGCATTCTGGACTTCAGAGACAACTTGTCCTATGTGATTAACGGGGTGGCTATCTTTGGGAGGGATTTTGCATTTGTTGCCCTGATGGTGGGCTCCAGCTGTTACATCCTGCTGCTGCTTCACCGCCACAGCCACCAAATGAAAGGGATTCGTCGCTCTCAGGGTGGAGGGGCAGAGACCAGAGCAGCCAAAGCAGTGCTAACCCTGGTAGTTCTCTATGTGGTCTTCTTTGGGATTGAAAATGTGATCTGGATCTACATGCTGACGTTGTCAAAAGTATCACCGGTGGTGGCTGATATGAGGGTGTTTTCCTCTTCATGTTATGCCTCTCTCAGCCCCTACTTTATCATTTCCTCAAACAAAAAGGTCAAAGCAAAGATCGTGTGCACAGCTGAGGATAAGCAGCCATCAGCGGACACTCAAGATTCGAATGACAAATGACTCTGTCTCTATCTTAACAGCCGGCTGACTCACCTGCTAGACAGCAGAGTTGTTCTATCTGACCTTATCATTTTCAGGATACTCTTATTTAGCTGTTATTTAAACAGTAGAACTAGAGTTGTAGTAGTGTTGTACAACTGTATGTATTCTTAATATTTTCATCTGAATTCTAATTAAATGTAAATTACAATCATATGTACCTGTAATATAGTTTGTGCTAATTGAGAGAGAACATTCTCTTTAGTCATATATGCCAGAAATCCCCTCTTCCTCCTCGCCTCCTTATCCTCATCATTGGATTGATACAAAAGAAATTAAAAGTTGAGCTAGAAGCATTTTTACACAGAAAAATTCTTTCAGGAATTTTCAGGGAGTCTACACCCTAAAACCAGGAATACCGGGATTTACAACATGTCTTGGAAATTTATTTTTAAAAAGTTTCTTGTAGAGCTTAGAAGATTAAGAAGTTAAATTAATATGTAAAAATAATTCAGAGGGACTTTTTTGCATTAAAGTACGGCTGTGGTATTATATAAGGGACAAGCTTAAACGTGAGCGTGATTGATACTACCGTTCCTACAGCAGCTGCGCTGTCAGTGGCCGAAATGTTATGGAGATATTGGGTATTCTGTTTCCACGCATTAGCCTTTCAGGTAACACTTGCCCTCTGAAGATGAATGCGTTTCATCGCTGAAGTACGTATACTGACATATATGTAGCATAGTTTTTGTCTATAATTTTAGTTCATGCTTATTACTTAATGTTGACAATTGCATACGTCTTTGAAAGGAGTTTCTCTTTTGAATAACCTGAAATTTTCACCTGATAGACAAACCTCAGGGAATACTGTGATCCATCTTAAGAAAAACAACAAACCCAGGAAAAGGGAAGCGGAAGAATGGGCTAAAAAGTGTAAAATAGCTTAAATAAACAAGTAGACATATGTGTGAAAGCAGAAGAGCTGTTAAAATGTAGTATTTTCAGAAATTATCCGCGTCGAAACTTACCGGAAGAGGTAAAGTAAGCTGTAATCGGCGCTAGTAGTTAGCTCAGTTGCACAAAAAGACGCTGCAGCGTGCAGCGACCCGAAACTGATGACAAGAAAGTGTTAACGAGCAGTTTGTAATGATCAGAAAGGGTTTCTTCCAGTTTGTGCCAAAGCTACCGTGCTGTTTAATTCCAGGTAAAAAATAATTTCAGATAATTACTTTGGCTACTTTTAGCTAACCCTTAGCGCACCTGTGTATTCACAGGTGCTTGTTTCACACCAAAGCGAGTTCATTTTATCTCTGCCTTCCCTTGCGGGCCTCTCGTTTAAGTTCTGCTTTTTCCAAGCTTCAGCATTGTGTCCGTGCACCATATCTGATTAGGGAACGCATCTGGATTTCTCCACACTCCTCCTCTCTTTACCGTGAAATGACCTGATCCGAGTTGACCGGTTCCCCTGTCTAATAACAATGGCAACAATAGCCTGGTACCAAGAAAAGGTAAGTGCAACACATCCAGTACAGTTAGTGTCATTTAGGAAATAAGACCTTTTATTCTCACTATTTACTGTGGATGTCGTAGTGCTTTCATAAAAATGTGTTTTATCTAATAATATGTGTGGCATTTTAGGGGGTAATGTGTGACAGTGAGAGAGAGAGAGAGTCATATGTGTAATTGTTGTATTAATTTTTTCTCTTTCAAATGCAAAATGCTGCTAATCTTAAAACAACAACAACAAATCTAATTTATCAGGGATTCTTTTCATTGGAAAATATTTAACTGAGCCAGGATCAGCCTAATTTTCATAGGTAAAAAAGCAAAGACACATTCCTTTGACAGTCTTACAAACTCATCACTTGTTACAAACCTATATTATATACTTTACTAGTAAAGTAGTAATATAACGTAAGATATGTAATGAGCCTTGTTTGTGGTTGTTTACTTACTTGTTTACTACTTTGTACATTAAAAACTCTGCTAAACCATAGACATCTACCAAGTTACTGTTACTATTGATCTGATTTATTTTGAAGTGGCTGTTATTACAATTGTAATAATTAAATTCATAGTCATTCAACCTTGAATCCATATGCTCTGATTTACATCCTTATATCTCACAATTTATTAAATCATTTCCTTTACCTCTTTGTTCCCTTACTCCTTACAGAAATTGATTTAAATAAAAACAACTCTAGCTTAAGACTTTGTTTTATAATAGAGCAAAAGTGTGGTTATATCACACAAGCTTTCCATAGATTTAACTGGACACGGTTTTGTTTGATCATTTAGTTGTTATTATCACCTCTTGTGTTTTCTTTGAAGGAAGATAATTAGAAGAATTATATTTTGTTATAGATCGGGGCATATGATCAACAAATCTGGGAGAAATCTCTTGAGAAAGCCGATCTAAATGTAAGATACTCATTTTTCTCTTTAATGGAATAAATGTTTGTGTATTTTTAGTGCATTTGACCTCTAAGTTGAGTAAGAAGCCCTTACTATTTATATAGGGTTTGGACAGCAAACCAAAGAAGACGGGGCACATCAAGCCAGACCTTATTGATGTTGATTTAGTAAGAGGTGAGTGTGAATAAGGAGCATTACCGGTAATTGTTTTGAAATGTGTTTGAGACATTTCTCCAGGTTTCTTGTCAATTCATGCATAAAGCAGATAAACTATGCATTGTATATATGTATGTGCAGTGCTTTATCTGCCTCTGTTTAATCTCTTCTTTACTTCAAACTTGCTCCATCACTTAAAGTAAATGTAGTTTTAACAGACCACCCCTTTCATCCCATCAGGATCTACATTTAGCAAAGCCAAACCAGAGAGTCCATGGACAGCGCTGACTCGAAAGGGTCTGGTCAGAGTGCTGCTGTTCCCGTTCTTCTTCCAGTGGTGGATCCAGGTGACCTCCATGTCCATCTCCTCATGTATCCTCATGCTCTACATTATGCAAGGTTAGCTCACCACCACTTCTCATCTTGCAACTATAGCGTTAAAACAAGACTGACCTCAACTCAAACATCAGTGTAGACATTCAACCTAGACCAAGTTCCATGCATCAGAACAGTTTTTAATTTACTGGATAAATAACTTTGTATCTGCTTAGAGAAGAGTTTCAGTGAAGAATAGAAAACTCTTCTTTAACAGCATAAGTCAGCATTCATGTGCTGGACAAGCTAACCAAAACCGAATGACTGAATGCGTCTTTGTGTTTATTTCTTTAATCAAAATACACAGAATCAGAAAAAACGTTAATAATTTCCCAAGGGCAAATTCCTTTATGTCAATGACTGAAATATGTGTTAGTTGCAGATCTATGAAAGAATAGACTATTTTGTTATATTTTATAACTTTTTAATATATTATTTGATTTAGTTTAGTTAGTTACTGATCTCACTGTCTTGGAACAACCGTGACCAACTGTGGGATTCAAGTATTCTGATTCTGCTTCTAATACTGATAATAGAAACACAAAAAAGCTCTGGTTTAAATGGTGTGGAGCCTTACGGTCACACAGCAGCTGCCACATGACACATAAAAACTCTTCAGTTGTGTCATTTGGATTGTCGCCCCCTTGGCCAACAGTTCAAAATCTGGGCTGCAGAAATGCACTAACCACCGCCAAAAAAGCAGCATGCCCTCTCTCACAACCACTCACTGATTAATTCCAGTCCACCTTAACTCCCTGAAAGCAATTGGTGGAAACAGCAGGAGTACTTTCCTGCGACCGTGTCTTCAAATTGTTGCCTGCAAGCACCCAGACACATGCACACTCCTTTCCAAATAAGGTTGATTTTGTTGGTTTTGTTTAGGTTGTTTGATTACGTATATTTAATTGAAGAAAGTACACAGGTCTCGATATGCTCTGTTTGTGGTTCATGAAGTTAGATCTATTGCTGCAGGCTCAATTCGCCGGCTATTCAACACAGCTTACATTCATTTATATGCAACACTAAACTTGTTACCCATCACACCTGAGGAGCACAGAAGAGACCTCATTAGTAAGCATGAATTCTGTTATAATGTCTCCCCTAAGAGACTGTTTTGTTTGCTGTTGCAAAATGTTTTGCTCCCCTCAGTGGCAGCGGTGCTGCTGTACTTCGAGGTCCCTAGGGCGACTGCCAGCGAGGTGTTTGGACCCATGTGTCTGATGCTGCTGCTGGGTACCGTGCACTGCCAGATTGTGTCGACTGAGTCCAGCCGGTGGCCCTCAGGCAGTCCAGCTGCCAGCAACACCACCAGCCCCACGCGCAGAAGGAGGTAGTTTCCTCATTGTTAGGCACTGCACGCATGTAGTGGTTAGACTAACACACAAACACACTCACACTCCTTGTGGCTCATGCATAAAGTTCCATGTTAAACATGCAGATAGACCCGAAACACTACTCCTAAACATGCACCTGTACCATGAAATCAAGTCCCTCAGAGGTTGTCACGAGAGATTTGCCTTATCATTGTTACCTTATTTAATGTTACATAACTATTATGAACAACATCTCCATATAAAAAACTGTAATATTCAGTATGACTTCTCATGACACTGATCATTTGCTACATTTTCTTTAATTTGCTTTTGAGAGAGTTACTGTATTAACTGCTTTTCTTCGTATTTCATGTACAATATGTGATGTGGCTCTCACATCCCAGGTTATGCTGTACATGAAAACAGATCTCACATGAAAATCCCTTTTGTTGTGCATGTTAAGTATAAGCTAATTATAATGTCATTATTTAATATACTAATGTAAATAATAAAAATGTCAAAAGACGGTAATTACCATCATTTACCTTTGACTTGTCTTTTGACTTTCTCTCCTTTAGGCCAAGAAAGAACAGAGGGTTGAAGAAATCTGAAGAAAAGAACAACAGTGGGGAGGCGGAGCTGCTGGGCTGCTGGCAGTTTGAAGAAAACCAGCATTTATACAGAAAAGAGGAGAGAATGGTACAGTTTCTCATCTCTACTCAATCTTTAGAGTCAAAAAATGTCAGTCAGATGTGATGGATTGGTTATGGATGGATGGATGGATGGATGGATGGATGGATGGATGTATGAGTGCCAAACTAGTCTGAAATTTCCCTTAAAAAGTCTTTTTAATTGCTGTGTCTAAATGACTGAACTGTAAATATGGTCTGCTTGCTTGATATAGATTTACCATCTTGTTAATGCTTTTAGGTGTAAGTCTACCTCCTCTGGCCTTGTGCTGTTGTAAGAATTTATTCATATAAATAATACATGCATATATATAGTAGTCAGTGTTTGTAAAATTCATGTGCATGCTTTTAAAAAAATAAATATATATATGTGTGATGATAGATGAACATGTGATGATGTTTTACAGAACAAAGGAAAGTCAGGATTTAGGGATTCTGATGAGCTCTCCAGTGAGGAAGAGGAAGGAATACAACCACTGGAAGTAACGCGAATACCATTTCACAATGAAAGAAACCCCACTACAGCTCCTGCATCAATATCGTCTATTCGGAAAAGAAACCACAAGTCTGACCCCGTAATTACACCGAGGCCTCAGGTAAACTTCACTGTATACCATCAAAGTTGCTTAATGGATTTTTAATGTACAGCAAGCTTCTGGGGAATTTAAGAAGCACATACATTAATAAAGCCTGATGTGGAAGATGCAGTGTTTTGCAATTCTAGGCTTTGCTTCAGAGATGGCACTGAATTAGCAGTTTATTTAATAGTAATTTGTCTAGTTTTGTTTTAGAGATTTGATGTGAAGTAACTTCAATGTCGCATACACAACACTGCCTCTGGTTTAATTTGCTCAGGACGGGAGTGAAGCCTTCATCAAGGTGAAGCCCCGTGAGGTGGAGCGTCTCAGGCCGAGCGTGGGCTCTCGTCCTGCCTCCGACACCGATGACACAATGTGGGAGGAGCTTCTCCAAGGCCCTCCCTCCACAGGGAGCAGTGACAGTGACGATAGTGGGAGGTGCAACGCCAGCATGAGCCTCCCACAAAACGACACTCTGACCAGCGATGACGAGGATGAAAGCCTACAACAAGCAATCACTGGAGTAAATGCAAACACATCTTAAATACTACACATTATTCTGGACGTTGTGACTAAATATGTTGTTTTATAAAATTCTGAGCAGTCTCAAAAGTCTTGGAAGTTTTGACATGTGGTTAAGCTTCAACTTCAAAGGCCTGTTGCCGATTAGATTACACACTAAACATGCATGAATTGTGAACAGGATGTTGACTGTGGTGTTTCGTTTCAGAGCCAGCTGTCTTGGCTGCAGGCATGTCACCCATCCAAGGATCGTGTCAGTGCCATCATTTGGGAGCAGGGCGAGTGTAAGAAAGCAGAAATGTCAGTACTGGAGATCAGTGGGATCATCCTCACACGGGTACACACTTTCCTCTTTATATTATTAACAGCCAGTCCAGCATAATGCACATTTGAAAACAAACAATTTCCTAGTAATTACAGTTACGGTCAGATCTTTAGTGGCGAAATAGCACCTTGAAATTATTTCAAATTCTACCGATAGAGCAAAAAATAAAGTGCCAGGCAAAAATTAGGAGCCAAATTTTACCTCATTACTGAGCCAGAATTTGTTATTCTGACTCTTTTGAACATCTAGCTGTCAAATGTGGCAAACTGATAAACACAGATAATGGAAGAAATATTCAAAGTTTGAGGTAAATGTGTAAAATATGTTGTCAAGAGAGTCCAAGAAAGACTGTAGCTTTCATTGCATAAAAATATTCCAGCACATGTCTCTGGTCTTAAACACCTGCCTTCTTGTGTTTGTTATTACCAGGTGAAGTTAGTAGAGCAGGGAATGGGCTATCTCGTTCTTGGCGGGCTCATCACTGTCACTCTGGCACTGCTGCCCTTTGCCTTCCGCTTGGCTCAGCGTCTGGACATGTCGGGCCTCAGCTCCCTGCCTCCGTCAGAGCTGATAGAAATAGCAGTGGGGCCGTTAAATACACAAGCTTATGCCTTTTTCTTCATCACGACAGTGCAAAGAATCTGCCTCACGGGGCTGTTCTTCTTCATGATGTGCGTGGCTGAGAGAACATACAAACAGGTGAATGGTGATTCAGGAAATGCACATCACAAAAATGTACTGTCCCAGGTTCTCAAAATGTGAAAGATTTTTAGGTGTTTGGT